GTGTATTGTGATCTTATAACACTATGTATATTATAGAATTTTTATTTGACAAAACTGGGTTTGACAAATTCTATTGCCCGACTGCCTGCCTGACTGGGCAGGTAAACAATTTATCATTTTACAGGGCCATTTATTCGAAATATTTTGAATATAAATGAAGAAATAATAGCGTTTTAAAACACGTAAAGAGAGAATAAATCCTCAATTTCCCCCTCCCGCTGTAGAAAAGTTACGTCGTGCCGTTGTGTGACGGGATCATTTCTTCCCTCCTGCTGCACGTCGCGCAGAGCGAAGCTTTAACAGCCGTAGTTTTTTCACACCCAAGTGGTCGGAGACAAAACTTGTTTCCTAATCCTTCCTCTTGTATACATTCCAACAATGTAGTTCTAATCAWTAATATGTTATGGTAAAATACAACTCACTTTATGAAATGAGGTCTTGACGTCACACGAGGAAGGGCCAATTCCAGGAAAATCCCCATCAGGTCAGCGATTACCTCCTCACTGCATCTCGTCTCGCTCTGATGGCATCTAGCATTGCCCACTGCACCCAGTGGTCCAGTCTTGGCCACGCCCCCACGAGAGACTGGACAACTGAACCTGAGTTTGTTCTCAGCAGTTAAAGAGCAGACAGCTCTCAGAACTCTGCACCGTTAGTTATTTCCACAGACTTCAGGGCAGAAMTGGACAGAAACAGACCAGGACAGAGCAGTGCAGGACAGGACAGAGGTCTCAGGCCCCGTCTCCTCTTTTCAGGCTTTTGCAGATAGATGCTGACAACAACCCACAGCTCTGCAGCTTTCAATGCACCAACCTTTGTGCCTATAAGACTGTCAGGTTGCCAGTGTCTTCATAGTCGTGCTGTGCATGGGCAATGGATCATTGGCAAGTGAGAGAAAAATTCTGAGGTGCTGACCTTAGGAAACCCAGATTGACCCTCTCCTTGGGAACGTAAAGCCTTTCTTAAAAAAATAGAAAGACAAAAAAGTTAGTAACCATTTTCAGATAGGTACTTCTTAAAATATGCTTGTTTAGAACATACCTTATCTCTCCACATTTTAATAAACTTTTAAACTGCACCTTAAATTAAAGCGGAATAAGGGCTAAACAGGGAAATGACGAAAAACAAAAACTGTAAACAAACTTCAAATTAAACATTTTTTGGTCTGAAATTATTTTTCTTCAGTAATTAACTTTAATCATTCCTTTGTCACACTGAACATTTCCTTTTGAACTGAAAAAGAACAAATAAAAAGGAATAAAACAGAAATAAGAAGCTTTATAGGACAATTCCGTTATTTAGACCGGGGAATTTATGCCAGACTTTGTTGAACCCATGGCAGAGAGAAGATAAAAAACAAATAAATATAAAATGAAACAAAATAAAATACAATACAATAAAACTAATATTAATAAATAAATAAAATAAAAATAAACACTGCAGCAGCTATTATTTTTAGTACAAACAATAAGTGGGAGTTAATGTGCAGATATGCATAATATCAGTGTCATTGTTTGGCAGGCAGACATCTTGGGTAGCCATCAGGATTAGTTTATTTTTTTTCTTTATGTATTTATTGTCCCGATAAATTTATCAGTCAGGGGTTGGAGAATTGACAGACTGAATTTGAACCACTTAAACAATATTCATGAAAAATAAAGAAATAAAAATAAGCTTCCAGAGAAAGAGTCAAAGTATTTTCTGTGAACTTAAAAAAAACAAAGGATACATTCACAATCTTGTAAGGATCTAAATGT